GTCCTCCTAATACAAATGTCTGCCTGAGGAATTCAGGCCCTGGCAGAGACAGGAGGTACATTCGTGCCAGTCAGTAACAGGCTCTCCACACTTAGCATGCGCTCGTCTTTTCTCGCAGGATGAACTGGTCACTTTCGTCCACAAGGTCCTCATCATCTGCCTTCTCCGCCTTCTTCTCCTCCGGCGTTTCGCAAGGAACCGAGTCCTCGTCTTCTTCAGAACGCTTGCGCTCCACGCTGTGTCTCACTCCATAGCCGAAGTAGATCACGAAGCCTGGGAATATTGGAATAGGATCATTCCATTCCATTTTCACTTGTCAGAAAGTTGCAGTACATGCATGATAACTGAACTATTTTTTGCAGCCTTTTAACTGCCTTAAAGGAAAAATTAGGCAACACAAAGGTTATAGTCACATAAGAACTAAGTTTTCTCATACACAGGAAAAAAGGACATACTGTACATAAAACATATGTGAATGATAAACGCATTGGTATGCTTGATTAAAACTTTTGTGGGCACTTTTTTAGCTTTAACTAGTTTTCCAGATATTTCTCTTCAAGACCATGCAACTGAAAACCACTCCAGCCGTGACTCAGTTGATACGTCGTGTTTAAACGCAGGCACATGCTTGTTTATTTTGACGGCTGTATCATGCTCTATTCCTAATTTTGCTGAGTAAATCTCTTCAGAAATGTGGCAGCAGCCCTGCAGTTCCTCTGCAGCACAGAGCGAAACACTTGCTGCTTTCAACACTTTGGCAGGCCTCCTCGTCGCAGACCGTCTTCTGCACTCGAAGCTGTAACTGAAGCAGCCGGAGAGCTGGGAATTGAGCTGTATTATGATCCGAGAAGAGGTCGACTGCAAGGGCGATGTGCTACAGATAGATCAAAGAGAACCTACCAACACACATCCAGATGGAAAAGCGAATCCAGGTATCCCCACTCAGCTGGACCATGAGGTAAACGTTGACAAATATACTGACAACAGGCAGAAATGGCAGCAGAGGCACCTGGGAAACACATATTGCACCGTGATATACAGCAGGAACATAACCGTAATTTATTGCATTGATAACCTCTGGAAAAAACACAAAACATAAAACTCTGAAAAAACACAATAACAATAATTGTTGAAAAAGGACTAGTATAAGATGGACAATTTGGATTTAGTGATCTAAAACTACTGCGGATGGGGTAAGAGTCATTTGTAACAGATCCCAACAATCGGTCTCAAATAACTAGCTGATATCAAGATTTCAAATCACTGCTTGTGTAATCTTGGTATCAAAATAAATTCATTGATGGTGTAATAATAATAATAATAATTAATTAATAATTGCTTACACTTATATAGCGCTTTTCTGGACACTCCACTCAAAGCGCTTTACAGGTAATGGGGTCTCCCCTCCACCACCCCCAGTGTGCAGCCCCACCTGGATGATGCGACGGTAGCCATAGTGCGCCAGAACGCTCCCCACACACCAGCTCTCAGTGGGGAGGAGAGCAGAGTAATGAAGCCAATTCATAGATGGGGATTATTAGGAGGCCATGATTGGTTAGGGCCAATGGGAAATTTGGCCAGGACGCCGGGGTTACACCCCTACTCTTTTCAAGAAACGCCCTGGGAACGTTTGATCAATTTCGTGTAGAAACGTTTGATCGATTTCGAATTAAACACAAAATCGTGCACTTTGTGAAACTACCCCACGTTGCCATGTTGTCGCAAACTGCCACAGGCAGGAGAGCGAGTTACCATGAATCGCGGCCCTTCCCGCTCGGTAGTCACTGTGATGACTCATGTTGTTCAGCAGATACTTCACCTCAGAAAGTTCCCAACATGATCTGCAGCCAGTATGAACAAGTTCAATTTATCGGCAAAACTGTCTTGAAGTCGAGAGCAATATTTCTACTGAATGAAAGCCTCTACAGTCCTCACCAGACGTCTCGCTGCCTCGTTCTGAATCACAGAACATGGCGCTGCGCAGACCTGGAAATCTGATCTACTTTGTGACGTTAATTGGATGTTTTACAAGTTACTGTGAACGTTTTGCTTTTATTGTGTTTCGAAATGCACTCATCGATGCTGATTCTTTTTCGAACGGCGAAATATAAACATAGCGCTGCAGTTGCCCTTTAATGTTACAGAAGAGCGGCACACACTGGATCACATTCACCATGTTAAGGCAATACCGCAATACTGCAGTCAGACCCTGGTGTGTGATCAAGGAGAGATCCCCCAGCTCAGGGAATCAGCTACACATACTGTTTATGATCATATCATGCCTTTCTTGAAGTGCATTTCATTTTCTCCTTTTCAGGAAGCACACAGGAAACACTTAACGATAGACCACAGGGCCAAACAGACAATCACCATGCTCTGAATTACCAAGTCATTTTCTTTAACTATCCATTCAAAAAACCCACAAAGTAAGATTTAGGGATCTGTAAACGCTTATGTGGCAAGTCAGCAATATGGAGGATAGCACCGTCAGCTGACCTGACATTAGCAAGGTCTCTGTAGTTTCTGCAGATTTGTTAATCAATTAGTTAACTGGTGAAGGGCTGAGAGCCATATTCTCTTATGGGTTTAATTTAGAAAGTGTGTTAGGAACAGGGACTCATGGTGTTGGGTTGGTTTAGACTAGGTGTCTGTGCAGTCTATCTGTGCAGAAATCTGTTAAATAAATTATTCTGGCAGAAATGTCTTGGCTGTCCTTGGAGAGGTAGGCCTGAGGCGGCCCGTCTGGTTCAACATGTGACAAACGGCCACTCATTGCACTGAGAGTCCCAAAGCGCTTCACACACCCACCATGAAAGAGACCTTCTTCTGAGTCTGAGGCTGCCTCCAAATGACGAGGACGCAGACGATCAGCACCATCAGGGACACAGCCAGCAGGCCCAGGATCCAGGACTCCATGGCCAGAACAGCCTGCCCTTTATACGTGGTGAGTGTGCTGAGCACACAGACCACAACAGCTGCACAAGTAATGGGGACAAAGATCACCGGGAACTGATCAACAACCAGGAACAACTGATCATTTTATACAGTATATCATTCAGGATCATTCTAATACTGTCCTGTAAATCAGGGAGATCTCTCTCACTTCCTTACATGTAAAATACTGTGCAATCTCGCACTCCCAGGGCACAAATCAGTATGTTTTACATACACTTATGGCTTACTGCAAGTTCGCATCTGGGAAAATCAGTGCTCTTGTTCTCGAATAACCAGAAAAATAACACATTTTCTTTCTCACAACAGATCTGTGTTTTTCATACTCACACTATTACAGATTCCACCGATTTATCTGCTCTACGCTCCTGCTGTTACGTGAATTTCTGACTTTGTTTAGAAAGGGCACCCAGGAGACATGGGTGGAGCGTGGGTAGGTTTTGGAAAGGTAATCATATATAAGTAAATGATAAATAAATATGATCATGGCAAGTGGAAGAAAAGAAGCAGCTCATCTGAGAGGTTGCCGGGACCAAGGGAAGGTTTGAGAGTGTTTCTGCGGTGTGGACCTGCTGCACTCGCAGGAAAAGCAGAACTGACCGATAACACTGACGGCGATGTCGACCACAGTGGATGACTGAGCGGTGGGCACGTGAGACGGGTTCAGGACCGTCTGCAGCGTGAAGCCCTCGTCCTTCAGCACGTCGAGACGCGATCCGGACTCGGTGATCTCGGAGTCCCCCTGCGCCGTGGTCAGACCCTCTTTCTCCGGGTTGAACCTCGGCTTCTCGTACACCGCGTCGGGCTGGTACCTGCGGAGAAGAACCGCGATCTTGCCCTGCAGTCGCATTCAAGACGGCACAACAGTCGTGATGCTGTGGGGTTGAGCATTAATAAGCCCAAATCCTCTTCCCCTTTTCAAAGCGCTATATAAATAAGGTTTGTTATTATAAACTGCTTCCTCAAACTCAGTATCATATTCTCATTACAACCAGGTAGCGCTTTGCACTCAAGTCCACATTCAAGGGTGTGTTCCAGGTGCCTGCCTGTCACGAACCGCATTCCTAGAACCACCTCACACCGCCACACACACCCACTAATTAATCAAGTGTCATTCCTCACATTCTTCCCTATTTACACCCTCTCACGAGTGGGAATGACCCTGGGCTTTCTCTGGTGCGTTGCTTCAACTCTCGACCTTGTTTCCCCCTGCTCCTGCTTCGGCTTTGGCTCCGCCTTCTCGTCTCGGATTTGGATCCACTCGACCTGACTCTTTCGGCTACCCGACCTAGTTCTTCTGCCTCAACTATGACTTTTGCCCTTTGCCTTTGGGATGTGGACGCCAATCGGTAGCAATAACCCCTCAGTCTCAGCGCCGCCATAGGGCCCAGCCCGGCGCACCTAACGCCCTCGCTGACACTGCCCTGTCCCAGCTGGAGGGAGTGTCGCTTCGTAGAGGGCTGGAGACATGAGGGAGGGGCGCTGCAGGAGTCGTGACAGAAGTGCTGTCGCTTCGCTTCTCTTTCATGTGGCGGGCGATGGAAACATCTCTTCACTACATGCCTGTAATTCTGTTTCTGAGGATATCATATAATAACTGATCCCACCCGTGGCTATAAAAGGACTGTCACTGCACTTTATTCTCTTCCGCTATGCAATTACCGTTTTTAAGTCCTATTTTAAGCAAATTAAATCACGGTTAACACACAGCCAACCCATGGGGATGTAGAAATTTCTAAACACATTTCCACAAAACATAAACAGTTGTTAATAATATGGATAATCCTAAGGATGTTCTCACTGGCCGCTTTGATAAAGCATATCTATATCCCACATTTGAAACGTAGTGTAAAATGTAACGATACCCGTTACCCTTGAAAGCAGTGTCTCATCTGCCTACCATGAAGCTGTGTGGTGGACATACTTCAAACTCCACCAGTATAGAAACAGACTTTATGATGTAGCTATATAATAATAATTAATAATTGCTTACACTTATATAGTGCTTTTCTGGACACTCCACTCAAAGCGCTTTACAGGTAATGGGGACTCCCCTCCACCACCACCAGTGTGCAGCCCCACCTGGATGATGCGACGGCAGCCATAGTCCACCAGAACGCTCCCCACACAACAGCTCTCAGTGGGGAGGAGAGCAGAGTAATGTAGCCAATTCATAGAGGGGGATTATTAGTAGGCCATGATTGGTAAGGGCCAATTGGAAATTTGGCCAGGACACCAGGGTTACACCCCTACTCTTTTCGAGTTTCCTGGGATTTTTAATGACCACAGAGAGTCAGGACCTCGGTTTTACGTCTCATCCAGAGGACGGCACCTGTTTACAGTATAGTGTCCCCGTCACTATACAAGGGCATTAGGACCCACAAGGACCGCAGGGTGAGCGCCCCCTGCTGGCCCCACTAACACCTCTTCCAGCAGCAACCTTAGTTTTTCCCAGGAGGTCTCCCATCCAGGTACTGACCTGGCTCACACCTGCTTAGCTTCAGTGGGTTGCCAGTTGTGAGTTGCAGGGTGATATGGCTGCTGCTATATGCACTGTTCTTGCTTCCTATGCTACATACTAAGATAATTTTAGTATGTAGTGTGTATTATGTCCTAAGGGTGCCTCAATACACGTTTTTAACTTTCTGACAAATGCATCCTTGGAAACATGCTGCAGTTATAGAAGGCAACCGCCAGGTGACACTGTTGAATCAATGTAGAAAATGTTGCAGTAGTTTATACAGGATTTACTGTCAGGAAGCCAGCACAAGACACTGAATGTCTCACTGGTTGAAAGCCACTTGGAACGAATTTGCAGACTGAGCTCAAGTGCACTGCTCATCTTTTTTGTGAGATGATGTGAGGGCAGAGCACCCACAGTAAATCAGGGTCTACACTGGCTGTAGTCGTACACCCAGTTGATTTTACCAGTCGATTGCAAGCCAGTGGGTTTTTCTGTGAAGGGGTTAATGTTGTGTTGGAAACTTCTGCCAGTGCGAAACGGGGTGAAATGAACAACATGTTTTGCTCTCGTCACAAGATTTCAGCTGGCGCGCACATCACATTTATTCAAAAGGATTTAATCATAACTCTAATTCAATAATGTTTTCTTCTATATGCATTCCAAGTCATGTCTGTCCTCTGGACATGAGTTCTGTTCGCCTAGATGTTCAGTTCCGGACTCTCGACTGGTTTTGGCCAGGACCAGAGAAACCCAGCTCACCTGAGAATGAGGACACAGGCTGCCACTAAGGAATACGCCAGGAGAGTGCCGATTGACATCATGTCAACCAAGGCCTTGAGGTCGAACAGGAAGGCCATGACCGCTGCCAGACACACAAGCACACAGACTGATAGGTCAGTGACTCTCTTTCTCCACCACGGCGTCAGGTTCGGCCCCGACGCTTCACTGAAATGCGTTTTAATAACAGGCATTTTTACACACCGAGAAATAGAGAGATCATACTCCCTCTAAGCAGATCGACAGGAAGGGGAAAAAACACTTTAAGCAATTAGCAGAATCTTTAACAATCCCATCACCCACAGTCTCATTAATAATAATACAGAATCAACCTGAAACTCCACAAAATGTCAAATATTCTTCATCTGGTATTTTCACTCAATTGTATTTTGAGTTAAAAACATGTACAACTGTAAAAAATTAAAATAGTTCAAATGAAAATGTTAGTGACATTTATCCACCAAATCAGCTGTTGATAGATATTTTGTCTTCTTCTTAACTATAAATCCTCTTAAAGATTTAAATTACTTGAAATTTGACTGTACTAGCTCATGAACTACATTTCCCCCTTTAAAACTTGAGTATTTTCTTAATTTGTAGATTAAATGCTCAATTCAAATTGAGCATTTAAAAGTGATTAATGGAAAAAATGAGTCATGTGCTTTATAATCCCAATCTTCTGAAGGCATAAAGCTTAATCCCCAACATAACAAGACAGTTAATAAACCTGTCACTTATCACAAGTAATTAGCCATTAACACAAAGTACGTAATCAGACAATAAGTAAAGTCAGATGAGACGTGAGCCCACTGAAATCCAACATTTCACAAGCTGTGAAAAATCACCGTTGCGAGGGAACAGCGCAGAAGAGGACTGTCCCCTCACTGACGAACACGCAGCAGCTGCCAGTGGTCAGATCCGCTCCGCAAACCCCTGCCATCGAAATCTTAAAGTCCCGCTCAGGAACTCAGAAACGTTATTCGGGACGTGAGGGTAGCACTGTTGCGCTGAGGCTGACACAGTAGGCAAGGTTTTGAAAAAGCAATTGGAAATAATAATGAGAAATGTTGGAGATCAATAATAACAGCATTCACCGCTGCCCGAACAGGTAACACCAGAGACAGGCATTTCGGCAGCCGCAGGGAACAATTTTTCCGTGACACGGCTCTTTTTCACGATCGGAATCGCAGCCGCTACATCCATCAGAAGAGGGCCCCAGCCAAAAAGGGGAAACCACGTTTCGTCGTGGTTTTTTTCCACATTCCAATCTGCTCGACGGTGAAATGCCGATCGCCAGTGACCTTCCTTTGCCAGAAAACAAAAATGCCCTACCCCCCCCCCCCTGAAGATTTTCGGAAAAATTAAATTCACCTCTTCCCACAACGGCATGCAGCGTGTACGGAGGGGGGGGTCCCCAGTGAGGTCCGGGCAAGCACACGGACACCTCCAAAGCAGAAGCAAACACACAGAGTGTAGGGGGCTGAGGGGGTTCTTACCAGCAGTGACACCTGCTGCCATGGTGGCTGCAACAGGGGTCTGACGCTTACTCACTTTGGCAAGTAATTTGAACAGTAAGCCATCGCGAGCCATGGCGAACAGAATACGGGGCAGGGGGAACATGGACCCCAGCAGGCTAGAACAGAGAAATCCACATCTCAATCACACGCATCCGCCAAAACACGCCCCTCCCGCTGTGCAGATCGGAAAACGTGAAGCTACGGGGAAATGGCGGCGCCGTGGGGAGTGGCGTGGCGGGGCCCTCCCAGTCCTCGGCCTGCTCGCTCGGGATGCTCGACACGCCCCCAAAAAAAAGCCCTTCAGCTGCTTTGGCGCAGAAAGCAATAAAAAAGGTCATTCATTCAGTCAATGAGTTCAATGAAGTAACTGGGAACACCATTAGAATGGAAATCAGGTGTGCCTAAAGACATGAGCGCCCAGGAAACTGAAATTAACAGACTAATGACGAGCAATTTAAAAAATAAATGATATGCTCGATTACAATACCGGTCTTGCGATAAGCGTGCCAGTTTGTTTCAGCACCAGGCCATTTATTTTAGTTTCACGGTTCCCTCCACCGAGCCGTAATCTGCACAGCGTCTTTCTTCAAAGCACCTCTTTGCGAGAGTCCTCACCTGCGACTACACCAGAAGTCATGGTGGCAATAACTGGGGTCTTCGTCTTAGGATTGATTCGGGCTAACGCTGTGAAAAGCACCCCGTCCTTGGCCATAGCATAGATTACACGAGGCATTGGGAAAATGGAGCCAAGCAGGCTGGGTGAAGAGCAGAGACATGCACATGATGCTGATGTTAGAAGCAGGCCAAAAGTCCATATCCAAAAAAGCTGGTGGATGGGAAAATTAAATTAAATCCATTTACTTTCTTTTTTGGGCTACATTCCTTGGAGCGAGCTTAAATTTTTAACAAATTAAATTCCCTTTTTTAAACAGTGTGCCTCATAAACAGCCTCCCCTCACACTGATTTTTGTGAGCTTTAGAAATGAGGCATTAGTTGTACTGTGGTTGGTCCTGCTAAAGCCTGCTGTTAAATGCTTTTCAATGACCTAAAGATTCATACGCTACAGTACAACCATCATGTTGCCGTTGGGTAACCACAGGTCATGCTCAGACAGATCACAATCACATCACAATCTTGTGCTTTAACTGAATTTTCATACATTTCCATTCCAGAGGACACAGCCCCAAACACCACGCCACACTGCTGCTGAGCTGACTAACAGGCCAAGCTGCAGTGTTAACTTTCAGTGTCTCGTTCATCCGAATTTAAATGAATGACAGTTAAAGCCTTTGCACACGGAAGCCTGGTGTTTCGTATGAATAAAATCATAGCTCAAATGGATGCACTGTGGGTTCTACTTAAAGTGCTGGCCTATATAATAAAAGCCTTCTGAAGGCTACATGTGCCCCAAAAAAGAAAGTAAGACAAGGTGTGAAATCTCAACACACCTCTCGGTCATATCACATCAAAAACACACCATCACCGTCTTGTCAAAGAAACCAAGCATCCCACAATTACAATAAAAGGCATCCCACACCATCAGAAAGAAAATTACACTGGCAAGTTTTAAGACAACATGCATAGAGCTCAGCCTTTGGAATCAATCCATGACAGACATTTCATTATCACCAGTGTTACAGCTTTCACAGGCCCACGTATAAATAATTATACCCTTAACCGAGGCTAAAATAACACAGCTCAAATTAGAAACACGCGAACTTGAACCAAACTTCACATTGCCAAATACAGCAGTTATTAATATTCCTCACATTTTTTCCCCACATTTGGTTGGGTTTAAAGAAGAAAGGAACCGATGGTCAATTTTTATATTTTGATGTTTTTAGATTACCATCATACTCAAAATACTGGTTGTGTATGGAACTGATTTTCTGGGTTTAAGAAGCATAAAGGAAATCTAAAAACAATATTGTAAATGTTCATATCAATATTCTTTCTTCAGATTATTATCATACACAAAATACTAAATTTCATAAAACAAAGAGTATATAAAAAACCCCAGCAAACTCCTGAAGAACATCTAACTGGCTGAACCACTTATGTAGTTGTGGTAGGAAACTAGTATCTATATCTACAGTATATATAAAATTGTCAAAATATTTTTAATTTTACCCTATCTATACTCTTCAATACTTCACTATACTACAGTACTTCAACATCTGGAAGGGATATTTAGGTAATAATAACCATGCCAAACATTTTTTTCTGAATATAACTGAAGTGGGTCCTATTTACACATTATCACGTCCTTGTCCAAACAAGATTGTACTCTGCACAGTCTGTTTCCCTCTTTGTAGTGGTTGTGCTGCAGTGTAGTGCAGGGATAAGTGCAGAACAAATGCAATCGAAGTTAAGAAAATTTCCAGCAAAAAAAATCAGATTCTGAGACTAGCGGACTTCATGAGAAAGGGCCCTGTGAAAAGTAACATGCATCATCACTGTGGACATGAGAAAGTTCCCAATAGCAATAGGCAAATAATGAAAGTATTTTCGTGATATATATCAACCTGTCAAGCTCGAGGTTTAATCAAAATAAAGGGCCTGTAACAGCAGCGCTAAGCAGACTCTGACTGGGTTCAACCGCGCAGTTCATTTTCATTCTGACGTGTGCCGATAAACGCGGTTCTTTTTTTCATATCTTAAAAACGTGCACTGAGGAGCCACACGGGGAATCTGTGTGCAGACAGCACCTCAGATATGAAGGTCATTTGCTCACCTCGTCGACAGGGCACAAAGCGACCCCACGGCCACAACATACTTAGCCGGACCCCAGCCTACGTATTGGAAGGCTACGGGCAGGGGGCTCTTCTCATCCAGGAGGTAATACGGCATCATAAGGGTGAGAGCTGCCGAGACGCCGAAGTAGGCCAGGAAGCACACCAGCAGAGAGACGACGATGCCAATAGGTATGGCCTTCTGAGGGTTCTTCACCTCTTCACCTGAGAGGAGCACAAGCATGCGTCAGAACAGGAGAGGAGCTGAAACTTAGAAAGTCACAAAGGAATGGAGCCCCTTGGGGCCTGTCGGGCCCGTCCCGTGGTTAGAGGCTAATTGATCGGAGCATCCGAGGGTATCGGCTGAACCGGCACGGCTGGGGGGCTTGTTCCGGACTCCCACAACCCTTTGCGTAAAGAAGTGCCTCCTGTTCTTTGGCTTGAAACGCTCTTCTGCATAGTGGTACTGCACTTCCGCCAGGATGAAACACTTTTTCTCCCTCTCTCTGGGGTGTCCCGATTCAGGTCGAATGCAGAATATACACTCGTCCTGACGCAAATTCATAACCCAGCTCTGTACTCATTCAGAATGGGGTTGGGCAGTTGCGGCTCTTTGGAAGTGGACTATGTGTGTATTTCAGCCACTAGCAGAGATAAGACGCTGACAGACACATTTAGGACCCCCAGATCCCAGGTGGCAAAACAACTGACCTTTTTCTCCAATTTAAATGTCCATTAAAAAGGAGGACACACCTCCATAACCGATTTTTTTAAATGACTTCAAAACCTGTTGCACTGAAATGAAAGCCTGTACAATTTTTTGTATGACTAGTCATTAAAAGTCATGTTTTGCAGCATGAACTATTCTATGATATTAAGACAAAAAGCAAAACCAAAAACATTTGTATATAGAGTGATAATAAAAAAAACAAATGTTTGGCCGACTAAGAAAATAGCAATTACACATCATTTGGGACCTTCAGCCTTCAAAAACAGGAGGTCGCTGAATTTAACAAATGTGCTTAATTGATAAATAACTCAATTATTAGGGACAGGATGCCTATAAGACTAAATGAGTTTGGGATCTCCAGGACCAGGGTTAAAGAGATCCCTGATTAAGGGGGACCATTAAGACTGAGTTGATTGGCCTCTCCAGGACCAGGATTAACAATCCCAGATGTAAAGCTTTGTCAGCAAAAACATGTCTGACCTGTTGTTGCAATGCAGTCAAAACCAACAAAGGCATAAAAACAAGTAGCTGCTCCTGCCAATGTCCCTCCAAGTCCATAGGGCATGAAGCCACCCACACCATAGTCACTGGTGATGTTGTCTGCCAAAGACTGGTTTCTGCAAAATGTAAACAGCAAGAAGGGACACTGGTTTTAAAAACAGTATTTAATTGATCAAAAGCAGCAAACTACTTCTTTAAACATTTGTTTACCTGCCTCTGACAATTTCCATAACTTAAATTTCAACTCAGATGTGGAAAAAGAAACCATGCATTCCACTTTCAATCATCATTTTTATGTCTTTCATTTTGAACCAGAGTTTTAAGTATGGGCCGTGTCTCAGTTTGGACAGCAAATAAAAAAACAGAACTATGAACAACTGAACAACTGACACAAGTAGGATAAAAAAACAAAATCTTTTTAGTCTTGAACAGAAAAAACTATGAGAGGACACGACTCAGGTACTGTAGGAACTGAAGGAACTGATAAACTCAAGCCTGTTGACTTCTTCAGATCCAGCACTGACAAATCAGAGGACAGAAGCAAAAGAAACAACAGGGAGGTACATCATTATGCAAGAGGCCGTGGGAGTATGGAAGAAGCTACCCAACCGTGTTGTCAAAGTGAATACCCTGGCGTCTTTCAAGGAACAGCTGGATCAATTAGCCAAACCAGCTCCTGTACGTGGGCCAAATGGCCCACCTCACCTGCAACTTCCCGTATGTTCCCATACCCTGCTGTCTGAGCTTGGATCATACCGTGTCGCTGCAGTGACATTAATAAGGTATCCTTCTGCTATCTTCCAGTTCTCTGGGTCGCCCTTCACAAATCCCGAGATGATGACAAACACAAGTACGAGCACGTTCACAGCTGTGAATACTTTATTGACCCAGGCGGACTCCTTCACTCCGAAAGAAAGAAGACCTGAAAGAAAACCCACAGAGTCGGACACAGTCTCGGACTTTATCACGCGTTTGGACACATGGTAGCTGAACTCGTACAAACACCGACAGAGAAGAATACAGAGAACGTGGGGTACTTGGTTCACATATTCACATTCCTGGCGAGCACTGACTGAAGCCAAATTGAGGCTTTTCTGGGATCTGCAACCACACAAGGACCCAGGGTCACAAGCAGAAGATGTTAAGGGAAAATCTGGGACACAAAAACATGAAACACTTCTTCCCACAAAGGGCTCCGCGGGTGTGTGTAAGCATCGTCCTCAACAGTTGTCGCCGTGGCCGAGAAACCTGGAATAATGGAATTTTCAGGCCACTGATGTATAATTTCAGAACCCATCTTTCGTGCAGCTTCGCCACGTGATTCTTTTTTTTTACCAGCCCCCAGGCAGAGCTCTGGCGTGGGCACGTGAGGAGACAACTGCATCCTGCACATCGCGGGCGGCTGCAGCGGTGGCCTGTCCCTGCCGGCCACATCGCTGAGGGGTCACGGGGGGTATGCAGAAGGGCCCGGCCACACACCCCTGCAAGAAAGCCTCGCAAAAAAGGCGTCAGGTTGTCAGCTGCAGAGCGAAAGTATGTTCTTGCTTGTAGCTACAAGGGGCGAGGTGTAACACTATACCAAATGAAACCACCTCACTGGTTCTTAAAATAAACAGCTCCTCCTGAGCCAGCTCTGGGTCTCTATGGTTCCCACGCAGTGAGAATTTCTAAGCAACGCAATACTTATCGATCAACACTGTATGTGGCTTACAAGTGTCTCTGAGGCAGCAGTCTTCTGATTTAGCCAGTGTTTTAGCTCTTAGCAGTAACGTTTGGGCACTGCACCTTGGGAAGTCTGTCAAGCAGAGGCCAGATTCAACTGTGTCGTGTCTAGTCATGAGTGCTGCAGAGGCTGTGCTTCAAACAGACCTGCTCACTCTAAGTGCATCTCAGAGGTCTCGGTACACACGCCAGTGACCCTCCTGGCTTATCTCTCCGTTTAGTTTTCCACCCGCCCTTTTGGCAAAAATATTTTTGATCTCTTTTGATGATCCTCTGTGGTAAAAAATGACTGGAAGTCCCGAGTTTGAGCCTATTTCACCAGCCTGGCCGTGGTCAGGTTTATCCACACAGGGGTGCATAACTGTCGGAGGACCCCTGTGGCATCACTGTGAGACATATTTGGGTTAACATGTTCAGTGTTTTGTGTGTGCGCTGAAAAATCGGGACGGTTTTTCGTATTTTAATACGTGTCGAATACGCAGCCTACGTACTATGATACAGTGCGCGCTAATACTTCAGTGGACACAAGTATTCTGAGTCTGTAGTTGATTTGGCCAATTTGCTCGTTTACGTTAGATACAAGTTTGAGGGTACGTCCCATGAGGACTTTCTATTCTGTAAGCTGCTACCAACAGGAACTACAGGAGTGCACATTTTTCAGCTTCTGAATGAATTTATCGAAGAGAATGGCATCTACTGGATAACATGTCAGAGTTTGTACAGACGGTGCTAGAGCAATGACAAGCTGACATATTGGTGTAGTTGCATGAATTAGAGAGGTTGCTCCAGAAATGAATGGACGCATTGCAACATCCACCACGAGACCTTTACTGTCAAGAAAATGTCTGACGATTTAAAATCTGTTAGACTCTGTTGTGAATTGTATCAAGGCTCAAAAAATTAATTCACATCTGCTTTGCTCGACTAAATAGGCTCACCCCTCCCACTGAAATTGTGCTTTTTTATTATTTTTATTTGTTGTTGTTACTGTTTTTTTTTCTGTAAAACAGTTTGAGAAGCCACCTTTAAAGGCACTATATCAAATAAAGTTTATATTATAATATTTATTATATGTATGTGTGAGTGTGTGTGAACACGCGCTCATGTTGGTCATTGAGAATTTCTGGGGTTCCCATGAGATGATGACTTGTAGGTGGTACTTGGATTCTTTGGTTGGATTAGGGGTGGTACTTGTACTTGGTCCAAAAAGTTTGAGAACCACTGGGTTATCAGATTCGGAGTCACGGTAGCCCAGAGCTCATCTCAAGAAACAATGGGAGCGAGGAGGGAGACACTACTATTCCATCGGAGCTCTCACTTGTACTGTATGTATTTGTAAACCTCGAAGCAAATCTGAATTGTTAAATTCCTGGTAGTTTTCCACACACTCGAATTCGCACAAGTCAAATGTTAAACGTTAAACCTGAAGAGCGCTCATACTTATTGCTTGTTGTGGCAAGGTGTGCAAGCATTACTCACCACAAATAATAATAGTAAATAGATTATTGTTGACTATTAAATCGTAATAAAGAAGTGTATTCCTTAATGAAGATAAACCAGTGTGACAGGCACTGATCACTGGCTGAGAGGAGGCAGCTGTCTGTCCTGAGAGACGGACCTGCAGACCAACCATCTGAGACGATTGGGCTGTGAAGACGCTGCTGCAGAAGTGGCCCGGGGCCCTGACAGCAGCATGTTCCCAAACGCTTCTTATTTTTGGTTTTGAAAAATTAAGGAGAACTGTTGCACGACTCTGTCGCTCACTTTAATTTTTACCAGCACGTGAGACAACCAGTTCGTTATCTCACTTTCCCAAAAAAACGGCTAAGATTCTTTTTTCTTCTTGTGTCACATCTCCGCTCTTTTCTTGAGCCTAGACCCCTTTGACTGCATCCCGCACAGAAGCAACGAGAGATTAGGGTTTACAATATCTGTCGTTGTTTATAGCTATGAGATTAGGACTGTTTTCATTAGGGTAAACCAAACATCTGGAAAAAAGAAAAAAGAATAAAAAGAATGCCCGTCAGTGCAAAAGAACAATGTTCTCTTCAGGCCGATGCAGAGCAACTCTCAATGGGAAAGACCGATATTCTCTTAAGACAGATGCGGAACGACTGAGCGGGAAAGAACGTTCTCTTACCCGAGAGCAACAGTATGAGGCAGACTGCAAAGAAGTCTGGGTACTCAGCCAAGCCGGGTGAGTTCATGTGGAAGTAGCTACTGAAGAACTGTCCAATACGTTTGCCTAGAAGTTCGTCAAAAGTGCCACTCCAAGCTCTCGCTACGCTAGAGGTTCCTGTGGAAAAAAAAAAGAAGCTACGTTCTAACATGGTTTTCTCACCCTTATTGCTATTAATGCAAAAGCAGCCATATCACCCTGCAACTCACAACTGGCAACCCACTGAAGCCCAGCAGGTGTGAGCCTGGTCAGTACCTGGATGGGAGACCTCCTGGGAAAAACTAAGATTGCTGCTGGAAGAGGTGTTAGTGGGGCCAGCGGGGGGCGCTCACCCTGTGGTCCATGTGGGTCCTAATGCCCCAGTATAGTGACGGGGACACTATACTGTAAACAGGTGCCATCCTTCGGATGAGACGTAAAACCGAGGTCCTGACTCTCTGTGGTCATTAAAAATCCCAGGGTGTTTCTCGAAAAGAGTAGGGGTGTAACCCCGGCTTCCTGGCCAAATTTCCAATTGGCCCTTACCAATCATGGCCTCCTAATAATCCCCCTCTATGAATTGGCTACATTACTCTGCTGTCCTCCCCACTGATAGCTGATGTGTGGTGAGCGTTCTGGCGCACTATGGCTGCCGTCGCATCATCCAGGTGGATGCTGCACATTGGTGGTGGTGGAGGGGGTCCCCATTACCTGTAAAGCGCTTTGAGTGGAGTGTCCAGAAAAGCGCTATATAAGTGTAAGCAATTATTATAATTAATTATTATTAAAAGGATGCGATCATCAGTAAACGTTGCGTCTTGGCCACCCCATCCCCCGTGTTGGTATTGTGAGGAAAGGAAAACTGCAACGATAGATCGCATTTTTGTGAGAGTAAGTAAAAGTGAAATCGTAATTTTAACAGGTGCAAATAACAAAAAATATTCTGAAGCATTATTTACACTCTATATCAATGTAATGAAGCAACTTTTTGATTTTGGTCATGTGTGAGCTTAGCAGTATTTTATACTCAAAACTTGATTAGCATTGTAGGGGAGCTTACAGTATTATTAGGCTTTTATATACTGTATATGCATAAAATAGTACTTTTTTCCCATTGGGTAAAAGTCAATCCTCAAGAAGTCTATTTTTATAGCCCTTTTTTGGACAAGCAAGGCATGCAACCCTCCTAAATCCCAGCATAATCCCCTTCCTGAAGAACTTTAAATCACTACAACAGTAAAAACGACTTCATGACTGAAGCTTGTACAGCTTCTTGTTTGATATTCTGGGCAACGTGCTGCATGTGACAGCCTACTGCGGATCCTGCTGTATGTCCCTGTGATTTAATCACAATAAAGCAGACGATTAAGGGTATTTATTCAGCAGAAGCACCAAATACAAGAAACCAAAAAATGTTTTTCTTATTTATAGTACCCTTCCGATTTCCCCATCTTTCGAAAGATTTTAGACAAGAGAGACAAGAGATTAAAATCATGCTTTGCTGCTCTGGCAGCTGTTTTCAATCCATACACTCAGGAAGGCCAAATTTATCTTTTTCCCAGATGACTGCTTATGCACTGTGTGAACTCTCTTAAATTCACTTTTTTTTTAATCCTCGTGACACTCAGGCCACGATGCAGAAACGATGATTTTCCCATTGTTTTTTCACGACCACAGAGGATCCGGTGAACAAAAGCGGCTCGCTTTAAAGGACCTCTCACGAAAGTTTCACATGTTTATCACCAGCTTTTAAAACAACATGTTCCTGAGCATAACTTTTACAAAGCCATTTGGTAACAGAGTTCGGGAAGAATTCTCCTGAGCAGGACTAGAGCCCTTGGTGATGACCTATGAAGGCATCCTAAACTCCCAGCTGAACTACGCTCTCGGAGTAATAAGACGGTGAAGATGTTTCAACAGCCGCCTGTCACGATTATAGTCCCCCCTCCTTAAGGGTGCTCCAGCCCTTTCACTTAAGACTTTATTCTGTGCACCTGATTCCTATTCCCAGCCCGCCTTATAAGCCAGGTGCTGACGCTCATCCTGGCTCTGCATCTAATCGTGCCGTGCGAGTCCGGGATCTGGAAGTGCCTGGTCCCGTTAAGGTTTTCATCTCTGTTCCCGTTCCCGTTCCCTGTCCGCCGGTTCCGACCCAGTTTCTGGTTTTAATTCCTAGTTTTGATGGATCTCCTGGTTTTGGACTTACCCTTGTGTTTTGGATACCCTCTAAGGATTACTCTCTGGGATTGTTCGCCTCGGCCACGCCTCCCCCGTGCACCAGCGCACCTTGGACACGCCCCCATGTCTTCAGCCCCGTATTCCTGCATGACGTTTCCCCAGTGTTTCCCCACTTCTTCGGATTGTGTCGTCCGCATAGGGTCCGGAAAGAACTGTTCGTTACACCGCCTACGCCAAACAGTTTTTGAAGAAGCGGTCGAGTCGCGAGGCCCTGGTCTTGTGCTCACCTATCACATAGGACAGGATGAGGTTCCAGCCGGTGATGAAGGCCCACAGCTCTCCGACCGTGACGTAGCTGTAGAGGTAGGCGGAGCCGGTCCTCGGCACGCGGGCCCCGAACTCAGCGTAGCACAGGCCCGCCATGACCGACGCCAGCGCGGCGATCAGGAAGGACAGGACGATGCTGGGCCCCGCGTCTCCCTTGGCCACCTCCCCGGCCAGCACGTACACCCCCGCCCCCAGCGTGCTGCCCACGCCCAGGGCGACCAGGTCCAGGGTGGACAGGCAGCGGCACAGCTTCGAGTCCTCCGGGCTGTCCGCGTTCACCGCCTTCCTCCGCATCAGGCACCGCAGTAGCGTCAGCACGCGGCCACACATCTTCGCGGCACGGCTCTGGGGAGGAAAACCGCCCAGATTCCGGTTACAGGGCGGGCACCGTCACGGCCAGGCCTGGGAAGCAGAGGCCCTGTTCACCTTTCCAGAGCAAATTCCAGTTGCTGTCATGGTCAGTGACTGACAGACAACAAAACAACCAAACGCTGACTGAAAAGGCAGCGTTGAGCCGAAAACATACTGTAACTTGCCGACATTGTAAAAACTTAACGTGCTAAGGAAACATGTGCGGCTCGACAACTGTTGAGTCACTGAACACCGCCGTTCAGAACTCTGCATTGTTCAGATCATGCAGGACACATTGTGGAGGCACGCTCAATAAGAAAAGCCTCGACAACAGGCTAGAAACCTTTTATTGTGCTTTAGCTTCTACGGGTTGATCTACATTCTAAATGTTCTTTCGTTCCATCTGGAAGGACTGTGTTCTTCTGCAATACAAAAGACATCATTTTCCTGCCAGTATTTAGATTCACAAATTTTCAACAACATGCAAAAAGAGTTCTATAGGTAACATGGCAAGTGACCTAACAGGTTCTTTTTTCACAATATATATGACAATAGCGATGGCCTCAGTCAGATATGAGCTCACCGTAGGCGTAAGTTTTTCTAAGTGCTGTTATTTTAACAGGGAGGGGAGGAGCTGCAGCACTGAAAGCAATTGGGCTGCAGTGTAAAACCTTCACAACCACTGTCTGCTTTAACCTCTAACACATGGCTGGTATTTCAATAGGAAACCTCATTCCTCCTTCCAGTCCGCAAGCCTGGTCAATCACAATTCTTCAGATTCACCCAGTTAATACACATCACATATCAAAACGGCTGCTTAAGTACACGTTTTGTTCAGACAGGCGAAAGTGTTCCAGCTTTTCTACAGCTTTCACTTGAACCTCAGAGCTTGCAAAGAGTAGGCAGTGTGGCTAAACCATTAACACTGCTGTCATATTTAAGGGGTAACTGATTTTATCTGTCCTTTTCGACTTCGTGCATTTTATGTATATAATTTGAAAAACACTATGCAATGAAAAAAAGTAACCAGACAGAATTAAAGAACACGGACTGTATCCAGATGCACTAAGACAGACTTTTATCACACAGAAGTGTGTAATTTCGACAAAGATCACTCTGGCAATTGTCCCACACTTCATTTATACTCAGCAAAGCGAAACGTGCATATTGATTAAATTTCAAGAACAGCGACATCTTTCCTGTACTTGTGCTCACGTATTGTAAGTGGAGTCTAATTATTAACCCTGGAAAAATACAATTAAGTCTCCAACAGAAGCCTTCATTACCATAACAATGTGAGCTAAATACAGATTTTCGGGAGGAATGGTCCGAGAGGGCAGTGGAAGATGAGCGGTTCTCAGCTCTCAAAGGCTCCCGGCCCAGAGAGGACTTGGCAGGTCCAGTCCAAAGGCCACTTTCTCCTGCCTGTAACTTTCCTGGGCTCGGGCCCACAATCACTCGCTGCCTCAAGCCAACTCGGACTGTCTCTGCCCTTGGGATTCTCTCCCCAGGGGCTGATGCTTTTCTACATTCTTCAATCGCTTCAGAAAGGCATTAAACTCAAGCCAAACTGTTTCTGGATACTGGCACAAGTGTGTTAGAGGGAGATTCAGGACCTTGATTTCATTAGAATTGATTATTCCAATACTGTAACATGTAAAAACTTATACAGTATTTCACAATCAAATACCACCAAACAAATTTCATTTTGAAAGTCAGAGTCCCTACATTGGTGTAGTTGGCCTATATTTTGTATAAGAAATTTCCTTTCAATGCTTTGCTTTCACACATCCAGCTACAAAAAGCTTAAGCATGAATGGTAGTTTACAGGAATGCACATTTCCTTTAATTTTTGTACAAAGATTTTCAGAAACATGTTAAACAAGTAACATGCTTTAAACTTCGATGTTCAAAACCTTTTAAATGCATATCTGAAACTGGCAATCCTGGGACTTCAAACAAAAGTCTACGATCTTCTGCAAAAACTCTTCTATTGTTTTCAATGGTGAATTTTAGAAATGTTTTACTTTACTATTAAGTAAATTAGCCAGCAATAGGAAAGGAGGTCTTTCCAGAGTAAAATACATATCAATCCGATCATCTTAGATTGGTAATGAGGCTAACAAACACTGTCACACCTCTTTCATAAAAACTACTCAGCTCAATAAAATAATTGGCATAAAAACCATGGAAAAATAAAAATTTACATACACATTCCAGAGCCACTGTTACATTCTTTTTTGCTCAAGTCCTTACTAGTCTCTTTCATCATTTTCACCTGACTTCTCTCCACCTGGAAACTGAAACTTTCAGCCAAAACTGTCTTATTATCAAGCAGTATGAATAATTATGTGCCAGAAATGTCATCTGCAAAATTGTAAAGGATTTTGTATGTAGTGTTTGTGAAAGTTATAAGTATTTTTTTCCTCACTCAAGTACGGCCTTTACAGATGCATCTTATAGTAAATTAGTAACTTGAATTCTATGCAACGCTTTTCAAAAAATACATTTGTAATCTGTTTTATACACATTGAAAGATTGCAGCACACACATTACACATGACCTGTTTCCAAATAACTGTGCATTCTAACGCAGAAGTAAGAAAACAGACAGCACTTACCAATTCAGCTGGTTCACAGAAAATTATATACTGTATGCCTGAATGCAAATATGTTCACGTTTTCCCTTTTTGCAAAGTAGCCGTGCTAGTCAGCCATCAGAGCGTCTGGCAGGCGCTGGCTGAACTGACGTGGAAGAGCGTGCCCAACACACAGCACAGAGCAACGGCCGTGCAGACTGTCCTGGACGCAGTCGAACTAAAAATGGCTCAAGTTCAACTCCTTAGTCTTCCACTCACATGCTTTCCCCTGACACTCTGCACCCCAGGAGGGCTATTTTTAAGCCTCCCTTGGCCTTCCCAGCTCTCTCTGCTCTCTGATCATGTTCTGCCGCTGGCCTCAGGACCTGGCCGTGACCAGCATGCCTTCGCAGCTGTGGCCCTGCCGGGGAGCCGTCCTCTGACTGCCCGCGCCGCGGACCCCGCCGGTGGGGGGCGGTGCCGCGCCAGAAAGACTCGGCTCTCCGCTCACGGTGGGCCCCTCACGCGACAGCCAATCACACCCGGGCCCGGCGAATGTCGCCTGCGGACCTCAAACGCAGATGCACATGAGACAGCCCCAGACGCTAAATGCTTGCTCACCACTGACAAATGGTTAGGCAACTGGCTTTGACAAACACTGGAGCAGGCACTATTGTTTATCTTGTGCAGCTAAAAGCACCAGAGCCGATTGGCAGAGTGAGGGTGGAGGAGCCGAGAAGGGAGTAAGTGAGCAGATTCACATTGCACAATATTCCATTAGGCAGGAGAATCATGCAAACACTGCACAAAGAGCACGGGAGGCAAGGGGCTGATCCGATGCATTCTGACAGCAAGAAAACACCGTCACCAGTTTCTCTGAAATGACGCTAGGGGAAACAAACTAAATGTTTAGGGCTCATTGGGTCTGTCAACATATTTTGATAATCAATGCATATGTAAAGGAACATATTACCTTAATGGTTTGGATCTAGAACGATAAAATGAGACAAAAGAGGAAATTACTCCCCTTGAAATACATTTTCAACAGTACAGTATGTAACATAATAAAATCTATAACAAGAGTTTAACAATATACTGGACATATAATTAGAAGATATGTATTGTTGTACACAATATTCTATGTCAGTTTCTTAGGTTCGGTGTACTGTAGAGGTGTCCTATTGTACAGAACTTTTAAAACATTCACAATCCTAATATTTCAATTTGAAAAAAAAAATACACACTCAAAAAAATTACAGAAACTAGAAAACAAGGTAATAAAATATAGTTCACATAGGTAGCTGCATCAATATGTGTAGGCTGCACGGAAAAAAGTCAAGGTTTATTCCACGTTGAAAAGAGAAGAAAAGAAACGTTTCGACTGCGGAGCCTTCTTCATGTGTCACACCCGAAGAAGGCTCCACAGCTGAAACGCTGTGTTTCTTTTCTTTCTTTTCAGCAGGGAATAAACCTTTACTTGTTCCTAATAAAAACATATAGCCTTGTGTATTAAATAGCATCACGGTTGTTTAATCTTCTCTGGTCTCCACACAGCTGGTCACTGAAACTGTACGACAAAGCAAGATGGAGTATAAAAAAAAGTCATGTCTGCTCCCTGCACTTCTTAAACTGTAGCATTCTTCACACACAAAAATAAACTGTCTTAAGCTTTTTACTGGCAAGATACAGGTAATGTATTTCAAGTAGGAATACACTCTACCCTGTCTTCTGATGAAAACCTTGAGGTGTTGAAGTTATGTTTCAATAATTACTTTGACTGAAGGCCCTGGTTTAAAGACAAGAAATTAATGCAATCCAGTGGCTGCTCACAAACTGCATCTCTACTCACAGCTTCCAACAGCTGGTCCAGACTGAAGTTAATCTAACAGCAGAAGCAGCTGATGGCACCAGGGACACCCGGCAAAACTGACAATCCCAAATTCTGATACCATTGCTACAATTGTTACACAACACTTCGGACAACATGGAATGAAATATGCAGAAACCAAGCCATCTGTGACTTTGGAATATTTGTGAATTTCTTCTTAAATCACTGCGAGACGGGGCCTAGGAGTGCAAAATGTCGAAGTAAAAGATGCTACCGCAAGCTTTACAGTGAACTAGGAACTGAGTTTTGCATTTCATACACCAAGAACAAGCACTGGGATTCACAGTCACAACTTTGACAGAAACATTTGATTTTATGCCCAGTGGCTTTTAATTCTATTATGACCAGCCCTCAAATACGGAGACAAGTTATAGAGAGAACAGCAAAGTTCCAAATTCTTGCTCTGGGGCACCATATCCTTCACGTTTTAGATAGAAAAGGGGCTTCCTGGTGCTGCGAAATTGCAAAAGAGTATCAATTCCGATTCTCCTTATAGTTAAGCAATTTTTGATACCTTAAGCCTTCGCCCCTTCCTAACAGCACTACCCCCAGTAGGGAAGAGGTTTTAGGCATGAGACTCCACATTGAAATGGTTTTCAACACGCTTTTCTTCTGGGTAAATGCGTTTGGCAGGACCCCAGGCTGCCGCTGTGTAAGAAAGAATGAAGCTGGACAGCAGCCTTCGGAGGCCTGACAAACGCAGTGGCTCCCAGCGTCGCGACGGTGCACTTCAAAGGACGAATGCCGACGCGCAGAAAGACGTGCAGCGGATTTTGGCAGCAGGTCCGTGTGAAACGCGGAGCCGTCCCGGGAACCGAAGTCTGGTTTGGAACTTGGACAGAGGACACAGTAACAGAAGGAAGGCCATTATGGCTTTGCAATATTTTCGCGCTACTTAATAGGCTTTCAGATTACTTTACCGCCACGGGTTTCCGATATTCCATGAGTCTGTTTATTTGTTAAACTGATTGAACAGAAGGAAGGTTGCAAACGAGAGGCGGTCATTCAGCCCCTTTGCTAGTTTGCAGTTAATTGATCCAAGGATCTCATCCAGCTGTTTTTCTTTTTTGCTGGGTACTTCAGCAAAATGGCTGGGTAGCTTGTCCCATACTCCCACAACCCTCTGTGTAAAGAAGAGCCTCCTGTTCTCAGCTTTAGATGCACTTCCACATAGTTCAAACCTGTGTCCTATGGCCTCAGGCCGCTCTGCAGCCTGCATAAGAGAGAGGTATTTACTTCTGCTTTCTCCTCAAGTATAGTGGCATTCAAGCCTTTTGCTCAACCCACTGACATCTGTACTAAACCAGTATAATTATACCCTGAATCATAGTTCAGCTGGAAGCAGAACTGAAAAACTGACATGAAACAGACAAAGGGGAATGCTTTGGAATGCACAAGTGATCACTGGGATAACATCTAACTTATACAAACAGAATCTGCTTTAATGTTAATTTTCTGAAGATTACATCATGTGGCAGTGTCCCTGAATGTAAAAATTAATTTCCTATTTAAAGGTGCAACATGTGGGACTTTTCTGAAGGGTGCAAGACATTATTAACCACAACAAGAAAAACAATCAGAACAAGAAATGTAGTTTCATTGAACAAGACAAATTCAAAACTTAATAAATCTGCTTAATAAATCAAACAGAAGCATGAATTCTGTGCTATCTATTCTAGTGCTTTATTACTAGTAAATTATCCTCATAGGTTTTCTCTTCAGAGACTGAAACTTTATGCATGACCATTAGTAATATTGCACAACTTAAGCAACTGAATTTAGCAATTAAATGGATAAATGCTGGAGCTATTAAGCATGTTTATTCCCTTAATTTAACGAACCAAAACATTTTCATTTTGTGCTTCTGTGTTGGTGCTTGTCAAATCATTAATCAAAAGGGGAATGTTTTACTAAACCATCAAAGCACACTTAAAGGTTATTCCTAAAATTTCAGGTCTGTAATAAACTAGTAGGAAATGTGCTGACAGGACAGAGAGGTCTCGGCTGGAGCCGACGGAGCTTCACAAACAGCAACAGAATATGTGCAGCTGGTCTCAGCAGTTTTACTTAAGTTAAACAAAGAAGCCGAATGAACAGATAGAGCTGTGTTTGTCTTGCCTGATTGAGACAGCGAGAAATATACGCAGTGACCCACACTGCCTACCAGTGAAGTCAGGGGGGAACCTTCAAGAGAAAAGTTAATTAGTAAGAAAAAGAAATTTGAGGAAGTGCTTATAGAACATGGAGGGGGATTTTGTGAAACAATGTGGGTAACTGAAGCATACGAAAGACTGTAACAATATAACTGCAACACACAACAGTGTGTCCAGAAACACGCTTGGCTCTCAAGTGGCTCACAGCCAGCAATGGGTGCCCAGGTGTCACCAGGTCGAGTCTAGGCCATGACACTAGCTGACAAGGACTGAGCAGGAAGGCACAAAATCAGCAGAGCACGACCTGGGTAGGGCAGGGAACCGCGGACCAGGGTCCTCCCTGTTGTTGGCAGAAGAGTGAGCCTGTGATGTCTGGAGAACCTGCAAGCTTGACGCACTGGTTGGGGAAGACACAGGCACACCACAGCTCCGCGCTCTCCCACACACACCACTGCTCTGTACGCGGAGGAGAAATGGCGCCAGTACCCAGGGCCCCTAAAGCTGGACCACTGCATCTCAGCTCATCACAGTCATGGGTCAGAAGCCACCGATTCTTGTGGCTTTCAAGTTCCCCCGCTCATCTCTGCATCCAGTTACAAGCTTTCCGGAGCTTCAGGCGAACCCACTGTTGCCTGGCTTGGCTGGCGCAGCGTCCTCGGACAACGGCGACAGCCGGCGGGGTTTGGGGAGCCGGTATCATGAGCGGAGTCGCAAGGGATTGAAGAACAGCGCCGCCGGGATGCAGCTGCCACCCTTCATGCACTCCAGTGCAAGCGTAAGCAACCACACTTCCCGGGCGGTATGTTGAGTAGCGCCCTCAGGCTCACGTGGGTATGCGCCCTCGCCACTGCCGCCTCAGGTCAGCCCCCCCACCAATGGGGACTCGAACCCGGGCCTCCGGAGTCACTCAACAGGGACCCAGCCGGCTGAGCTAAAGGGAGATCTCCCCTCAGCCCGACCGCTGCGGCCCCTGCTATTCACAGGGAAGGGCGGTGACGTCACCGCGCTGGTAAGCCGGCTCTCGCAACCTGTAATGCCGGCCGCCTGCGTCACAGTCGCTGTGGTGTGATTAAGCAGCCTGTTCACAACTCCGTCTGAGACAGCCAACATCCCTCAAGTTTCTCTCCAGCTGACTTTTCTGGCGGAGAGCAGGGATGGAAATAACAAGCCGCTCAGAGCAGAAGTCACTCTCACCTCTGCCAGTAAGGCGTGTGGAGATTGCAGCATGTTGAGAGATGAATGGATCTGATGTCTGGGCACGCTGGAGGAGTGCAGGAGTCTTCTCGAGCAGCAAGCCTGTCTTTGACAACTAGCATTTCCAGTTTGGGTGGTCATATAATGAATGGGAAGCAATTCCACATTTTAAAATAAAATGGCATTCGGCTCTGCACTGTGATTTATACCTCAACATCCAGTGCAATGATAAAATTCCTTCATTCCAATCAGTCACTGAATAACATAAATGTGAGCTGGTCTCATGTTACCAGACTGAGCTCTTTGAAAGGGAGCTCTCTTTTTATCACAAATACTTACAAAGGCTTAATGTATACAAGCCATAACACTGGTAAAATGTTGTTATGAAATATCAGGACAAAATCCCTGGAACATACA